GAGACAAACACAGATTTATTTGGTCATGTGATGAGAAAAGGAGCGCTTGAAAATACCGTTCCGGTGATCTGGAAAGATCACCGGTGAATGGCTTAAGACAGTGGCATGGAGGAATATCATCAGTGGAATTGATCCAGAACATCAAAGACCGAGATATATAGAGATGCATGAACGCCTACGCCAGCTGGCACTTGATGATGATGATGTTGATGAGACTACAAAATCTAGAACTGGGTGACAAGCCCACATGGCCCTCCAAACACACCGTTCGACTTCTACAGAAGTTATAATCAGGACACCGGTTCAGCCACTCCTGCCAGGTACAAGCTGCAGTTCTAGGTGGGTAAGGAGTATATCCGGAACTCTATCCTCTCGACATTTTTTTTTTTTTTTTTTTTTTTTTTTGTATTTTAACCAACAAATATTGCTGTTGCGTTGCGAAGAGGGTACAGAGGTGCTAAACCACATATGGTATGTACTAAGACTATGACTCTTACTGGTTTAGGCCTAACTTAATAGATACTCAGGCCTGCTGTAGAAAACATGCAGCCACACGCGCAAAAATCATATCAGACTCCATGTTACGATGCTTTACTTGCAGGCAACCTGCGCTCTGAAGAGGGTGGACACACTGAAACACACACCCCAACTGGATAAATACAACTCATGTATGATCGGACCAGCTGGCAAGTAAAGCACCATCGCAGGCGGGAAGATGCATGGACAGCAGATATCATCAATGCTGTACGGACTAGACTAGTAGAATCTCGAGTACGAATATCAGCAGAATGGGTCGCACCAATTTCAGTTAAAACTGAGTATAGACTGAAAAAGTAAGCCATTTGATAGGGGAAGGGGAAGTCGAAGCCTTGATTCTTGACAATTCTGCTAATGGATGCGCAGTTCTTTACACAAATGGATCAGTCATTCGACATGTACAAAATGAGAGGGAAAACTGTAAAGGAAGCGAGCGTGTGGTTTTGCCTTGACTACAAGTAGTCTGACTGTAGAGGTGATGGCGATAAGAAAAGCAATTATCTGACTGGAGTGAGATTTTTTTTTAGTTAACATCTTTTGGATTTTCTCTCCAGATAATGATGGTGTGTTGGGAAATGAGCAGGCAGATAGACTGGCCGATTCTGCACCACTTGGTGGTGAACTGATGTCTGACACGCAAATAGATCATTACATTTTGAGGAGAATGGCGCTGCAGGGAGTTACCAGAGGATCAGGCAGACGCTCAACACTTAAGGGATGGGCGAGACAGATATACAATCAGACAGTTATGTGTCTTCGCAATTGAAACTCTTCGTTTGCTGCTGAAAATGGGGACGGGGCGCTTATTGGAGTGTCCCGAGTGCAGTGGTGTCGATTCTTAATTCAATATATATATATACTACTAAGAAATCAATTAAAACTATATGTCCCAATTATAACCCTGTGGATTGAAGAAGATATAATTGCAAAATGACTACTACTTGAATCTACACAACGAGATCTAAAATACATACGGGGAAACAATTCGAAACTAACAGTTAAGATTAACAGCCACCAAGTAGTGCTGGACTACAAACTGTTCCTCCCAACGTCGCTTTACAGCAAAAGTTATTAATGATAATGATTCTTCTTCTTCTGCCTTTCTATCCCCCAATGGAGCATAGGCCCCCAACCAACTCAAGCCAAGGCGTTTTATCCTTCGCCATTGCATGGAGCTCTCCCTATGTCCTCCCCATCTTTCTAACTTCATTCTCCAGCTCTCTTCTCCGTGTGTTTTTTTGGCCTTCCTTTATTCATATGCTTCTGTGGGTTCCAATGCAAAGACATTCTAGTTATGATGTTCTCCTGTTTTCTCAGTGTGTGCTCTATTCAACGCCAGCGTCTTTTCCTCACCTCTTGGTCCACCGGAGCCTGTTTAGTTCTATCCCAAAGTTCTACATTAGTTTTTCTATCATACCATTTAATTCCTTCTATTCTGCGCAGGCACCAGTTAATGATTGTAAAATCATCATAATGCGGCTTGAAAAAGGAATAGATAAATGCCTACGAGTGGAACAAGCAGGATTCAGAAAGGGCAGAGGAACAACTAAGTACATCTTCGCCATACGTAGCATTTTAGAACAATGCAATGAATGGCAGAGAAGTATATATATTAATTTTGTGGACTTTGAGAAAGCTTTTGACAGCGTCCATAGAGACGGTCTGTGGAAAATTTTACGACATTTTGGAATTCCAGAAAAAATAGTCAACATAATTGCTCTCTTCTATAAAGACTTTTACTGCAGTATAAAAAATTACAACACATCTTTCCCAGTAAAGACAGGTGTAAGGCAGGGATGTGTTATGTCATCTCTCCTCTTCAACCTTGTGATTGATAGGATACTAAAGAACACAGTAGACAGGACATTAAGAGGCATACGATGGACTCCATTCACCATGCTTGAGGACCTTGATTTTGCAGATGATATAGCACTCCTATCACATAAACATGAACATATACAAGAGAAAAGTAACAGACTAAACTGCACAGCAGAAATGGTGGGACTGAGAATAAATACAAAGAAAACTAAGATCATGACAAACAGTCCAACCAACAACCAGTGACCATAAGTAACCAATCACTTGAAAATGTAGAACATTTCACATATCTTGGCAGTGTGGTGTCCCTACTGGGAGGGACAGAGGAAGACATACAGTCACGTCTGAACAAAGCTAGAGCTGCTTTTGGAAGGATGAGGCAAATCTGGAAATCCAACAATTACTGCAGAGGAACGAAATTCCGACACTACAAGAGCATCATTTTGCCAGTTCTTCTTTATGGAGCGGAATGCTGGAGAATGACCCAAAAGGATGCACACAAGCTGTCCACCTTCCACCACACATGTCTACGTAGAATTATCAAAATTTTCTGGCCAGATACAATCTCAAACACTAAACTACTTCAAGTCACAAACCAAGAAACTTTAGACAGTATGATAACCAAGAGAAGATGGAAATGGCTTGGCTACGTTATGAGAATGACTTCTGATATACCTGCCAAAACAGCTCTCACATGGACACCAGAGGGAAAGAGAAAACAGGGGCGCCCAAAAACAACATAGAGACGAACGATGGAAAGTGACCTGAGTGCGGCATCTTTGACATGGAAAACTGCACTGAAGATTGCACAGGACAGGAAAGCATGGAAAGCCCTCTCTAAAGCCTTATGTGCCACTAGGCATAACGAGAACTGATGATGATGTAGTTTATTAGTAATTGCCTTTGTTGTTCTCCATTCATACTGAACTTAAAAAACCAAACCAAATTGGGACTCTTGGTAATGAAGAGTTTGTTGTTAAAGGTAATATATTATTACACACATATCTTTTTATTTTAGCTATTGCTCTATTTTTCCTTTCATGAAATGTAATAAAGAATTATTTTGCAGATTTATAGAACAATAATTATGTTACTGCTTTATTTTTAAATTATCCTTAATTGTTTTTCTATGTGAACTATTTTGTCTTGTGCCTGTGTTAATGTGTCCCTCAGTTCTGACAGTTTACAAATGGCGGATAACCACGGCAACGGTCAAGTATGGAGGGACGCTAGTCGTTAGGTTAGAGACCAGTTTCTAGACATTGTTACTGTTACTTCCCAGTTTGATAATTCGGCATAAGTTCTCATGTGTCATATTCCGCAAGCAGAATTCATCAGATAGAATGCTTCTGTTAAATAACTAACAGAAACAATTATTATGTATTGTAAATTATAATAACAGTACACGCTAAATCAGTGTCATCATCTTCCAATGTTTTGCTGTCAAGCATCGTAGTCCTGTATGGGGAATGAGATAGTTGTGTTCGATATGAGTTTTGCCAGTATCACTTACATTCCCTGTGTGTGTACAATGTCGTTAATATCAGTAATTGAATTATTCTTTTTGTTGCTTCTCAGATCTTAAGTACTAAATGTGGTCACTCAAATCTTGTTTTGCAACAATTCTTCTCTTCTTCTTCTGTGTTTACTTACTGGCTGAAAGCTCCGGTGAAAAATATTTTTTAGTCGTCCATCTGGACTTGGGCTATGTGTTAAAACTCTGATGCTACCAGTAACTGTCTGACTGTATATCCGTCTCGCCTTTCCACTGAGTGTCAAGCGCCAGCCAGATCCCTTTGTAATTCCTTGCAGTGCCATTCTCCTATGACCGTAATGATCTATCTGTTCCATGGCACTGTTCACTCGCTCCTAAAGGATCCTCACAACATCCAGCTTGCTATACATCAGTTCAAAACAGGCCAGTCTATCTGCCTGCTCATTTGCGGTATGACCTGGAGCAAATATCTAAAGGATGCTAACTACCCGGGACCTCTGAAGTGATGCTTGCCACTCTGTACGGAGTATGCCTGTCTCCACCTTTCTCAAATTACAATGATGGCATGTATGTACAGCTGTTTCTCAAGACATAATTGACTGCCTCCACCTCCAGTCTCAAACTAGACATTGTGATATCACATGAAAGGCTTTGCTGCACTAAGCGACATCCATTCGCCTTCGCTATGAACCCCCATGCACTTCGTCTGCCCCTCAACTCAGAGCCATCTGTATATACAGTCACATCACCTGGGTGGACATTTTTATGAATCATTTGTTGAACTTCTGATTCTGCAGCACCAGCTGGCCAGTTTTTTTATGTATGGAAAAATATTTCCCAATGAGGGTCAATGCATCCTTGTTTACAGGGTAGTAATCTATCCACTGCGCAGCTAAAATAAAAATGTCTCATCAACTTCCGCTTTGGAACCCATTAGCAAGCCTGCGATTTACATTATGAATTAATTCAGTACAAGAAATCCCATGCAGACATTGCCAGATAAACTTGACCCAGGGCTATAAATGTCTAAACTATTTTTTCCTCCACATTTTGTCTCAGATTTATTTCTTAGTATCTCAAATAAAACAGTATTTAGTTTTTAGATACAAGGTTTTATTTTGATGAATTTGTAACTAATATTTCTTTACAGCGTGATTCTAAAAGTTGTCATGGGAAAGAAGGTTGAAAAAAGCTTATCAAAGGAAAAGCATTCACATTTACCCCAAGCCGAAGAAACTGACACAGTCAGATCTGGAGGTAATGTCAGAATTCACTTTTGTTGCCTTATAGATGATATGACACCATCAGTTTGATAATGATGTATATGTTCTCAGTCATCTCTCCCCATTCTCCTATTACATACAGTCTTTGCAGTTCTTGTTGAATGATCTTTTTTGAAGAAACTCTAGCATCTACCTTAAAAATGTAGGTAGAGACAATCACAGCAGTTTCTTATTGGGTGAAGAGCAGTTTATATATACATTTCACATTTGTCATTGTAACAGGCTTACAAAGCATACTGGGTACGGTGGAGACAAGCATACTGAGAAAGGTGGACACAAGCATGCTGGGTAAGGTGGAGACAAGCATGCTGGGTAAGGTGGAGACAAGCATGCTGGGTAAGGTGGACACAAGCATGCTGGGTAAGGTGGAGACAAGCATGCTGGGTAAGGTGGACACAAGCATGCTGGGTAAGGTGTAGACAAGCATGCTGGGTAAGGTAGACACAAGCATGCTGGGTAAGGTGGAGACAAGCATGAAGGTTAAGGTGGACACAAGCATGATGGGTAAGGTGGGGACAAGCATGTCAAGGTGTTTTAGAAATGAACAGGCAGATATATTTCCTGGTTCTGCTCCACTGAGTTGTGAATGGATGCATGGTAAGGCAGATGTGTTCAAAGCCACTGAGGAGACCATGAACAACATGGAAGAGCAAATAGATTATCATAGATTGGTATTAAGCTGGAACCCACAAGGACATAGAAATAAAGGTAGACTCTAAAAATACACGGAGAAGTGATCTTGAGAGTGAAGTTGAAAAAAAAATGATGGAGTCTAAATGTGGTGAGCACGTGCAATAGCAAAGGATAGGATGACTTGGCGTGAGTTGGTTAAGGGCCTATGCTCGACTGGAGATAGAAGGTAGAATAAGAAAAATAAGAAGAAACAGATCATCAGCTGGTATCAACAGTTATAAGACAAAGAAGATGGCAATATACTGGCCATGTCATGAAGAGAAGCAAAGAGAGAATCACCAAACAGACACTGAAATGGGAAACAAATGGATAGAGAAAATGAGAACGCCTCAGAGAAACTGCAATAAGGTACTTTACTCCTCCTTCATCCTATGGGAGTGAAATGGATGTTAAGCCTTCTGAGATAAGAATGATAATAATACACTGAGTGGTCTCCAGGCATGGCATCCGCCTCGAGTGTTAGAGATCCCGGGTTCAGGCCCTGGTGACGGCTGGAATTTATTTACGCGAACTTCTAGTAATTTCCCCTGGTCTCCGGTTTGTAAGATCGGATGCCCGTGTGTATTGTTGTGCACGTAAAAAAATCCCTTGGCAGCTGGAAATCAAAAAGATTAGCCAAACGGTGTTGCTAGGGTAAACTTTGAAGTTAAAAATCTACCAAAAGTATTTCAGGATCCTCGCCGGTGCAACAGAGTTTGTGCACTGCACTGAGATTCTTTGGACTCAGGCTTGAGTTAGAATTAGAGCGGAGCACTTATGGGTTACTACTCTTGTGCCATGATGTTGATCCGTTGTATAAACCAAATGATACACTGAACAGCATAGTAATCACATGATATCTGAACATTTAAAACAGGTTGAATAATCCACTCACGACGCTGCATTTTAAAATTCAAATAAACTAGCCACAAAAAGGATACTGAAAGTCCGTGTAATTCTACTATATATATATTTTAATGTTTCAGTTATAGAAGGTCTGTGATTTTCAAGGAAGGCAACAATTCCAACAATATCAAGACAAATTTGTTACTTTCTTATTATCAAATATTCATGTTTTATGCTTGCTCACTTATTTACGCCCTCCTTTCTACCTTGGGATGTGGAGGTTTGCCAGAGAGATCGCCAGACTTCTTTATGAACAGCTTTCTTGTTGGCTTTGTTCCATTCTGGTTCTCTGTCAGTCAGGAATGATCAGATGTTGTCTCCTAATGAACCCTGGGTCACCTTGGTAGTCTGGTTCCCTGGTTCCTGGCCTCCACTGTGGCTGGTTCTCTCTCATTCAGCATACATGACCGAACCATTGTAACTTTTATACTTTGTATTTAGTAATAGTCCTGATCTTCCTTAACTCGTTGAGTCCCAAGGAACGCATCATATGTTCATAGGTTACTGCCTATAAGCCCAATGAACGCATGATGCGCCGATTATAGTCTCTTTTGACTACCCCTTGGGCCTGTGATGCTAAACCCTCTGGGACTCAAAGAGTTAAGTTGTGCTGGCAATGCAACATGGCTAATCCTAGATGCCCCTTGAACTTCCTAAGAAGTGATAACCACAGCATCCATGAACCACCTTCAGTGTAACTTTCAGTCTCAGGTGGGTTAAGAGTGATTGCTCTTCTTCTTTCCCTCTTCCTTTGAATTGTTTTCCCTGCTACCCGAAGGTTTAACTACCCTGAGATTGCAAAATCTAAATTTGGATGGCAAACCAACATGGCAGATGCAAGAATTCCTGTTCAACCTACAAAAAAACACCAGCCTGTTGTAAACTTGCAGGGCTGTACAGGTAAAGAATTCCTTGATACTCCTGTCCTCTTTGTCATCTCTGTTTAACTTCCCCCATGGTCTATTACAGGAGTTAATAAGGATTCATAATTCTTATATTCCATTCAGAGCCACACAGATGCAGTGGAAACTTTCAGCTCGACTTCAGTATGATATGTAAGCATATGCAGATTTCCTATATTCCGGCTGTTATAGTTCGTCCCAAAGTGCCGCCCCTTGTGCCGCCAGTACCAAGCAGTGAAATGAAGTTTGAAAAGAAGGGAGACAAGAAGCATCAATTACCCAGCTCTGAGGCTGAACCGGAAATAGACCTAAATGAAGGGGGAGGTATATGTAACATTTTTGTTGTAGTCTTTTTTTTTTTTCATTCTTCCTCTTTTTAGGGAGTGCATCGATTGCATCATGGAGATGAGTGATTGCACCAGAGAGATGGGTGATTGTATTAGGGAAATGGGTGATTGTATTAGGGAAATGGGTGATTGTGTTGGGGAGAAGGGTGATTGTATTAGGGAGATGAGTGATTGTATTGGGGGAGATGGATGATTTATTGGGGGAGATGGCTGCTTACATCAGGGAGATGAGCAGTTGCATTAGGGAGATGGATGATTGAATTGGGTAGATGAGTGATTTGGAGAGTGACTGCATTAGGGAGATGTGTGTATTAGGCACGGATATTACTGCCTTACTGTCAGTCACAACACAGCGTGTCAACCAGCCCTTTAAGTGTGAAAGAAGTAGAAGAAGAAGAAAAAAAAAGAAGAAGATTAACTTGTCATTTATTTGCGTAAAGAACATAAAAGAATGTTTCCCTGGCAGTTTCCCTCGAAGGGCCACCAAAAACTTACATCACACAAGATAAGTTCCAGTATTTTAAGCCGAACATTCAAGTGGAGCTTGACAACATTGAACGCTGGGAAACAGTCACCGAAATCTACATTAGAGGTCAGTAGGTCATCCTGTTGTTATTTCCTGTTTTATTTATGGTCATCGCTGTGTGTAAATTATGCTGTGGTTACTAGGTGCTTGCCCTGTCTGATTATATATCATGATCATCTAATGCCATGCCAAATGGTGTGAGCGATCATGACTCTGCACAACCTGCAATCTTCAACCATGTGTATCAGTTCATGAGTTGATACCCCTCCATGGCATTAAAATTGCATCAAGAATCTTGTTATGTTGCCTTCTCTGTCTCTTTTTCCACAAATCATTCCAGTGGTCACAGATTCCAGTTTCTTTCTTCTTGAATCTTGGGGAAAAAAAGTTATGACTGTCTCCTTCTGATGTTTGTGATAACTTGCCTTTTGCCATCACTTCTTTAACTCTACCAGACCGATGTACCGCTACTGCGGTAATTTCCTAATCTTCCGCTAAACCGGTGTACCTCATTGTCGGTACTTTGCAAACTACATGAAATCAATGCATCACAAACTAAAAATAACTAGCCAGTCTTGGTCAGACCTCGTGGTGTGTAGATTTACTTATCTTTACTATCTTGCTGTGTGGAATGGCACACAAAGGTGGAATACTGGCGCTAGATGAAAGGTAAACCTATTTTCTACAATGTCTCCAAGTTTTATCTTATTCTAACTAATATGTAACTAATATTTTTGTATATCATGTTGGTTTTTTTTTCGTATTGATGCCCCCCGTGTGGGTTCCGGGGGCCCATTGTGGGGAAAACAAGAATAGACCCACTGCCTCCCCAAAAGCATGTCGTAAGAGTCGCCTAATTGGGGAGCTTCCTTTGAAGTCAGAGTGCATCTGCCGGAGAGGCAAGGAACCAACAGTCTGTATTCAAGAGAATGAGATATGTAAAACTGATGCACACGTAACACTCAGGTTCTGGAGCAGGACTGCAGTTCAGTAGTGGACGAGCAACCAGAACTTTCCGCTAGAGTGTACAGCTGGTGAACGCAAAGAAGAAGAAGAAGAAGTATTGATGCCCAAGAGCTCAGGTATTATAGGGGGCAGTTAGGTTCAGGGCTCAGGTCTGGTAGGGTTAAATATCATAGCTCCCTGTAGTTTTGCAGTCTCCACTGGATAATTCATCATCATCATCATGTAGCAGGTCCTTTGCGGAACATCGCTCTCATCACAGTCTGCATGTAAGAAACTCGGTCTCTTGCCAGTTCTCCCGCCTCATGAACTTTCACACTCAAGGAGTCACTTATATCCTGTACCCATCTTCGTGTCGGTCGGCCCCTGCCTCTCCTTCCTGGTACCATGCCTTCTGCTATCATTTTCTTCAATCCGTCGTGGCGCTTGATATGACCAAAATATTTCAGCTTTCGAGAAAGGATGCTGTTTATTAGCCAATCTTCCTTGATGTTCAGATCTTTTAAGATGTCAATATTTCTAATTTTCTCTGTCCAAGATATTCTCAGAATCTTTCTATAGCATTTCAGCTCAAAAGTCCCTATTCTCTTTCTTAAGGACTGAGAGATAGTCCACGACTCACATCCGTATGTAGCCTCAGGGAAGATGCATGCTCTCAAAATTCTAATTTTTATCTCCTTGCTGGTGCTTAACCATAGACTTTTAAGGCTGTTCAATCTTTGCATTGCTATGGCCTTCCTCCTTTTAATTTCTGTCGGATAATTACCGACAGTAAATCATGACCATGGTTTTAAGTAATTATGATCCGGTGCAGGTTTTTGTATTGCACTTTTACTTTATTTCCTTCAGAGATTGACACATTGTTACAGCTATCCTTCATCAGACGAATTAAGAAGAATTGGGATGCTGCAGATGTGGTTCTTGTGAAGAATGTTGAGAATAACTTGGACTGACAAAATAACCAACATTGCATGCCTGGAAATGTCTAATAAAAGTAGAACATTATATACAAAAATGAGAAGGAGACAAACAAAGTTCTTTGGTCGTGTGATGAGAAAAGGAGCACTGGAAAATACTGTGACGACTGGAAAGATCATTAGTAGAAGAGGCAGAGGCAGACCAAGAGAAATGATGGTGGATGGTTAAAGACAGTGACATTGAGGAATATCTTCAGTGGAACTGATCCAGAACACCAAAGACCGAGAACTGTGGCGACGCTTCAACACCTACGCCAGCTGGCAAGGTACTTGATGATGATGATGATCCATCCATCCACACATCTCTGCATCCATCCACACATCTCTGCATCTATCCTCACAAACATGCCTGGCAATGTACCTAGTTATCTACGTGCAGACATACATCCATAGTTACCTGCTAGTCTGCTTGTCAGTATGTAACTCTTAATCTGTATCTGCCTGCCTGTATGTCTGTCTGCCTAAATCTTAAAACTGTCTGTGTGTCTGTCTGCCTAACTCTTAAAACTGTCTGTGTGTCTGTCTGCCACCATGACTTTCAACCTACCCTTCAAATCTGTCTGTGTGCCTCTCTGCCATCAAGTCTGTCTACTTATTTCTCAGTATGTATCGTCCAGTTTTGCCTGTAAAACTACATCTATGTAATCTCTTCTAACAGGCTGGAAGATTGATGAGCCCATGATGGGAGTGTTCCAGCTGTGCTGGCCTGCCATTCATAGACTTCACACCATCAAGTAAGTTCTCAGTCTCTATCTGCAAGTTTCCACATTACTGCCATCTGTGTGGATATACAGGATACAGGGCATTACATCGATAATACAAACGTCTTCTTCATTCCCCCCTCCTTCTTCTTCTTCTTCTTCTTCTTCTTCTTCATTCATCCGAAGATGTTAATGAATTTGTATACAACAGACAGATATACAGAATGTTCAGCAAGGTAAAGAAAGGACAAATAGTCAGAGATACCACTGACCAAAGGAAATGGCAAGAAGATACATGATAGTGTTTGGGACACCAGGACAAAAGTAAATCACACGTTACACATTGCGTAGGACGGAGATATTTATTTAAATGTAAGCGTGCTAGAGAGCCAAACTACTTCCTGTATGTAACAGCTATAAAAACACTTTTTCTCTTGTATTCTATATGATAGCGCTGTTTTTCTATTTTATTCTATGTAACAACACTGTTTCTGTTTGATTGTAGCCTCTGGAACACAGGCCTGACAGGGGAAACTGTGCATATGCTGGCATCATTTCTGCCTCAGTGTTTGCATTTGAAGTAAGCCAGTACTAACTTGTTGTTTCAGAATATAACTGTTTATTAGTAGTAGTAGCAGCAGCAGCAACAGCAGTAGCAGCAACAGCAGCAGCAGCAACAGCAGTAGCAGCTGCAGCAGAAGTAGGAGCAGGAGTAGTAGAAGTAGTAATAGTAGTAGTAGTGGTTGTGGTGGTGGCAGGAGTAGTAGTAGTGGTCGTGGTTGTAGAAGTAGTAGTAGTGATGGTAGTGGTAGTAGTAGTAGCAATAGTGGTGGTGGTAGTAGTAGTGGTAGTAGTAGTAGTAGTAGTAATAGTATTTGTGTTGGTGGTGGTAGTAGTGGTGGTGGTGGTAGTAGTAGTAGTAGTAGTAGTAGTAGTAGTAGTAAGAGTAGTAGTAAGAGTAGTAGTAGTAGTAGAAGTAGTAGTAAGAGTAGTATTAGTAGTAGTAGTAGTAGTAGTAGTAGTAGTAGTAGTAGTAGTAGTAGTAGTAGTAGTAGTAGTAGTAGTAGTAGTAGTAGTAGTAGTAGTAGTAGTAGTAGTAGTAGTATTAGTAAGAGTAGTAGTAGTATTAGTAGTAGTAGTAGAAGAAGTAGCAGTAGTAGAAGAAGTAGTAGTAGTAGTAGTAGTAGTAGTAGTAGTAGTAGTAGTAGTAGTAGTAGTAGTAGTAGTAGTAGTAGTAGTAGTAGTAGTAGTAGTAGTAGTAGTAGTAGTAGTAGTAGTAGTAGTAGTAGTAGTAGTAGTAGTAGTAGTAGTAGTAGTAGTAGTAGTAGTAGTAGTAGTAGTAGTAGTAGTAGTAGTAGTAGTAGTAGTAGTAGTAGTAGTAGTAGTAGTAGTAGTAGTAGTAGTAGTAGTAGTAGTAGTAGTAGTAGTAGTAGTAGTAGTAGTAGTAGTAGTAGTAGTAGTAGTAGTAGTAGTAGTAGTAGTAGTAGTAGTAGTAGTAGTAGTAGTAGTAGTAGTAGTAGTAGTAGTAGTAGTAGTAGTAGTAGTAGTAGTAGTAGTAGTAGTAATACGGTAGAAGTAGTTTAAGCATTAAAAATATCTTGTTCAATCCTTAGTGTCATATTCAGGATATAAAGTGTTCATAGATATTTCAAGAGCTACTGAGACACAGCAGCTCATGTTTTTCAGTCCACCTATCCTGGTCTTTGAATTTCTTTTCTAACCGCACAGCTCCAGCGTGAAAAAGAATTTTTCATAAAGCCTCCTTTGTAGTCCATAGGATGTAGCCCTGTCTTTGTTTAGACCAACTGATGCTCAATAGAAATACAGCCAACATTGTTCCAGCAAGGAGGATTGGCTCATAAACAGCATCCTGTCACCAAAGCTGAATTTTTTTGGGCCATGTTAAGCCTCGTGGTTGTCTGGAGAGAATGATGATGGCAGTGGCATTCTGGGAAATGAAGTTGGACTCCTTAAAAGTGGCCACAGGACATTGAAGATGCACTGCTTACAAAGACACATAGGGCTGGAGAATTTCAGGCATGCTAGGAAGAGAGCAATGTTTTTAAGAGAGCTGCTGATTGATAATAGTCATGCCAGCAATGAATTATGACGACTTTCTCTTTACCCAAATCTGTGATTGGTTGTCTTCAGGCCCTTGCCTGTTTCAAGACATCTGAATTACACATTCCTTGGACAGCCAGTGTGAGTAATCCACATGTTTTCAGGTGTCAAAGACAACATATCACAAATATTATAAAGTTTAATAGCATGGGTGTCATAAAGTTTACCAGCATGGTTCTGTGATAAAATGTAACAAGTGTATTATTGTTGTAATTCTCTCTCTCTCTGAAGGCATGTTTTTCTGGATGGTAATTCAGTGAAAGAGGAAAACTGGTGTGAACTGCTTCAGGAAAACAGCCTGTGAGTATGTTGTGTTTGTTGCTGAAGTTAGTGAAGATGTATGAATGATGTTTCTTTCTTTCTTTTGTTTTGTTTTTGTGTTTGTCTTTTTTTGGTAGAGCGGGAGGTGGTAAGGATTTTACGATAAACCATGAAATATTATGTACATATATTGTGTTTGGGAGTCACCTTGGCGTATCACCTACATGCTCACCTGCAGGCCCAAAATTGTGGGTTCAAATCTGCATCGAGTCTTAAAATTTTTTTTTTAAAGCTGTACCCAGACTAAAACGGGTACCAGGTAAGGTCTTAGGAAGTAAAGGTGGCCTGTCTCATGTTGACCACATGGACTATCAAGTGCTGATTGGTCTATAAATATATAGGTCTAGCCCTATGCACCCAATATGTCTGAGGGCGTGGAAAAGGGTTGTTTAGTTTATTGTTAGATAATAATCGTCCTTATATGGGCTTCATGGTCGTGTGGGATGGGGTGGGGAGAGGGGGGGTAGACCAGCAAGCAGGTTATAACAATCGATTAATTAAGGGTATTCTTTACGAAGTCACGAATGCCATATCTGTAAAATAGATGTACACGCAAAACCCAAGTTCTGGAACGAGACTAAGTCCAGAGGTGGATGAGCAACCATAATTTTGTACAGGAGTTTACAACCACTGAAGGCTAAGAATAAGGAGATAGTCATCTTAACTGGCATTGTTGTTTTTCTGTTATTTATTGACTGGTTCATGACTTGTTGCATTTTGTAGCTAAAATTGTGGGATGAGGTAGCCAGTCATATGCCAACAGTTCTAAGCTTCCTCTTATGATATGCATGATATTTTGAGAGATGAAATTTGTATGTAGAAATGTATAGCTTGCGCCTGGTATGGTTTGATTTGTAAAGGAACTCTTTTATTGAATAAGTTCAGGCATTGCCCTGTTGATCTGTTCTTTTAGATTTATTTCCAGTTGCCTAGGGATTTTTTAAACATGAGAACATGCACTAGGGTCGACCTTGTCCAAGAAGGTTATATGTCTAATCTAGTATCAGGGAAAAGTGTACCACCCTTTGTCTTTTTTTTTAAACAATCTAAAGTCAGTTCTGTGAGAGAAAACTTAAACAAGGACTGAAACATTTCTCGTCTAATATTGTAGAATTCAAAACTTGTCCCTGAGACACTGTCGGATCACTGACCATGGGGCAGCAAAAATTGGAACTGCTTTGGGAACTGAGACATCTACAAACAGAAAACTGTTGTCACTGAATCTATCTGGCAATTTGATTACTGATGACGGGGCAGAGCATCTGGCCAAGGTAAAATTCTGTGAAGAATAATTAGTTGTTTTAAGTAATATTTCATGATGTTTGTTGAATGCTGGGATGGCTCATGTTGAATGCTGGGATGGCTCATGTTGAATGCTGGGATGGCTCATGTTGAATGCTGGGATGGCTCATGTTGAATGCTGGGATGGCACATGTTGAATGCTGGGATGGCTTATGTTGAATGCTGGGATGGCTCAAGTTGAATGCTGGGATGGCTCATGTTGAATGCTGGGATGGCTCATTTGGAATGGTGGGATGGCACATGTTGAATGCTGGGATGGCTCATGTTGAATGCTGGGATGGCTCAAGTTGAATGCTGGGATGGCTCATGTTGTATGCTGGGATGGCTCATGTTAAATGCTGGGATGGCTCATGTTGAATGCTGGGATGGCTCAGTGGGCAACTGTGTAATGTCTGTTTTCTTCCTTTGATTATACCAGTGCTAATCAATACTTATTAGTTTAATTTTCATGAATTATGCGGGGGATTTGTGGTATTTTAAGTAGAACACATTCACAGCTGTATTAACTTGCTGTAAAAACAAAAATCTGCCTTGATGCTGATTTGAATCCAGTACTATCAGACTGGAAGCAAGTATCTAGCCCCTACACAACTATGCCATGGTCAAGTTCGTTGAAAATCCTTTACAACATTGCAGAACCAACTCCATCATTTATTGGCTGTTTTGATTTTACTAAGTAATTTTATTTTCAGTAGTTTGCCATTGCTTTCTTAACAGTTGGCTGTCACTAGCCATGCTGAAACACACAGCAGTCTACTGCCAAATTGCCTATAGCTGGGATTGAACTGCCTACCTCCGAATTACAAAGCATGTTTGCAGCGCCTAAGACACAGATATTGATGGGCATATAGTGCTAGCTTATATTTGTATTGATGGTCTAGGATGATGGCATGCATTGTTGGATACTATCCTTGATGAGAAGTATCCAAACACCACTTGGACTCAGATTTTCACCGACAGCTCTGCTACAGATGCAGTCAGAAAGGGGAGTTGTGGAATATACATTAACCCCCCTAGCAGTAAAGCAGAAACTCTGTCTCTACCAGCAGGTGACATCTGCACTAACTTCAGAGCTGAGGCAACTGCCCTCCTTTCTGCAGTCCAACATCTCATCACTCAAGAACACAGAGGGCACAAAATTGTTATACTTAGTGACTCATTGTCTGTTCTCCAAGCACTATTAAGCAAAAAACAAGACAAACTAATTGCAGATCTAAGGACCAACATTGGGTTACTCTCCAAGGAAGCAGAACTGGTCTTGCAGTGGATACCAGCCCACTGTGGTATTCAAGGAAATGAGAGAGCAGATGAGTTGGCAAAAGCTGGGAGTAATCTTCCACAACCTCATCCACCACACAGCTACAAGGAAACCAAAACAGCGCTAAAGCAGTCTTTTAAACGGGAGTGGAGAAAGCAGAATAGAGATTACAGACCAGAGAGTGACAGCATAAACAAACTCAACAGGAAAGAACAAACATAAATTTTTAGACTTCGGACAGGACACTGTGGTCTTCGAGCACACCTGTACAGGATAGGCATAAAATAATCTGCTGCCTGTGATTGTGGAGCAGAAAGACAGACCCCTGGGCACATACTACAGTACTGCCCTAACCTCTCCCAGCAAAGACTGGATCTGGCCCAAGGGAACCACATTGCAAGAGAAGCTATGGGCGACCGGTGGCGACCTTAAACGCACAATCCTATTTGTGACCCAGACAGGACTCAATGTTTAGCATGACTGATGTCGAACGCAGAAGAAGAAGAAGAAGAAGATGGATACCATCAATAGATTGACTCAGAACACTCAGTTCTGTGGAGAGGCAATAACACGTACGCCATCTGGCGAAGCACAGGCAATTCATATCCAGGAATAATGGATGCTTATGTGGCCCTGAATCATTATCCTCCCCCACCTCCACCACAACATACACACACACATACACACACACACATATGTCGCAAGAGGGGTAAATTGAGGTCATTTTTTTTTTCAAAAGGACTACTTCACAATGTGAGTGTCAGGTTTTTGTTTTCTGTTTCTATAAAACCCCTGAGCCTTGCCAAAAATGGAACACAATCTGCCAGGCAGACTATTGACACTGATCTCATTTCTTGTAAATGATGAAAAACAGTGTGACCAGAGGATCTAGCAAGAACTAATCTCCGTAAGAAAAGAAACAATTAATCTAAGAACGTCTAGCACCATTTCTACTAGGACTCCACACTAGCTGCTGAAGATGGGGATGGAGCATTTATGGTAGTGCTGTATTGTAACTCAGCTCAGTTCTTCTTCTGTCTTTCTGCTCACATTGGAGCCTAAGTTCTCTGCTAACTCAGAAAAAGTCCATCAGAGATTTGTTAATAATTATTTTACAGTGAAGATTTTCTCTTTGGAATGAAGTGACCGGTTTCATGTAAGCTTTCTTCGGCCACTTGTTCCTGATTAATAATTGAAGAATCAACATCATAGCACACCAGGCATACCCATAAATGCTCCGTCTCTCGCAGCAGATGTTGACTGTACGCACATCATACTATTCCATGTATGCATTCTTTTTAGCTGGGTTCACAATGAAATCAAATTTCATACGACCTTATCTTGCATCATGTAATATAGTATCTTCTATCAACATTAATTCATAAATAGTCTCAGAATGTCTGTTACAGTTGTCTGTTAGAGTTGACTTTTAGAGTTGTCTGTTTTAACAATAATGGCAGGATTAGAGTGTTGGTGTTCTTTGCTTCCTTTATGAACCACAGTAACACTCTTCAGGTGATCCACTTATTAATGCCAGTGTGTGTTGAACAAAGAACCTTCTAAATATTTGGATATTTGAACCATACCTGATGTGGGTTCTGGATTGGGTGGGGGGAGGGTGGCTCGTTTTGGAGAAGAAAAATCCCATTGTTGTTTAGAAACATTTAATAAAATATGACCAATTAGAGATTTGCTGAAATCGGATATGTTGGACCCAAAAAAGCATGTATAACACATTTTAAAGGATGATGCAGAGGAGGAAGAAGAAGAAGATGAAGAAGAAGAAGAAGAAGAAGAAAAAGAAGAAGAGGAAGAAAAAGAAGAAGAAGAAGATGATGAAGAAAAAAACACAGAAGAAGAAGAAGAAGAAGAAGAAGATGAAGATGAAGAAGAAGAAGAAGAAGATGATGATGATGAAGAAGAAAACGCAGAAGTAGAAGAAGAAGAAGAAGAAGAAGATGATGAAGAAGAAAATGCAGAAGAGGAAGAAGAAGAAGAAGCAACCCTTACTTTTAGATTTCATGGTTTTCTGCAGGGTCTGAGAATGAATCGCACACTTTTGTCTCTGACATTGACAAGTAACAGTATTGGAGACCAGGGAGCAGTCAGGATTGCCGAGGTTTGTGAGTACTTGTTGTGTTGGCATTAGAGAGCTTTCTACAGAACATTCTGAACAATAGGTTTTATTCCGTGAAAACATAATCCCTTGCTGAGATTTTAGGACTGAAATTTAGAAGGATGTGGTTGTTGTTTTTTTAAATAGACAGACAAAATATATCAACCTCAATAACATTGTTATAAAAACTATGCTGAAAGGAGAGAGGTTTGAGAGATGTGGACAAGAGGTAGACAGTGATACAGATGAAGGAAAACTTCGAGAGTTTGAGAGATTGTACAACCCTGGGGAGTGACAGAAGGGAAGAGCCCTTGCGACCAACATTTGTTGTAGAGACAGTATATGATTGATTGATTGATATTATATCTGGTTTCACACACACATCGTGATTGTAACTGACTCAGAAAGCATGCTGAGGAAGATCAGGACAGGTATGCTTCGTGCAGAGTGGCAAGCTTTCTTGCATTGTCTGGATTTTTTTCTCGGAAATACGCCGGTGTGTTGGGAAATGAACAGGCAGACACTGGATAGCTCTGCACAACTTGGTGTAATACTGATGCATGATAAGGCAGATGGGGTTAGAGTCTTGTGCATGTACTGTTCGGAGGAGTTGATGGATCACCACAGTCTGGTAAGACTGATCCAGGGTGGAGAGACGAGAGGTTCTGGCAGATGCTCCAGGCTCAGCAGAAAGGCAAGACGGACGTTTAGTCAGAATGCTACTGGCACCATTAGTATTGGAACTCTGCACTGGCTGCTGAAGATGAGAATGGAGCGCTTATGGGAATGTCCCGAGTGCTGTGATGTTAGTTCTTGAATCAACTCTGTTCAATCTGGTTGGGGTGTTTGGTGTCCTAGAAGTGTTATCTGAGAACAGACTGTGTCTCCTGTGTTTAGTTGCTCTTTGCCTGCTCCCTTCAATCTTGTTTCTCATAATTAACCAACAGGTTTGGACACAAAAATCAACAACATATTTGTAGTTAAGATGTAATAAAATATGATTTGTTTTTTCCTTAACAGTTTTCTGTAGCTGATAAACTGTTTTAAAAACTTGTTACACAATAGTTAACTGTAGCTGTCTGTTGTACATGAATGTTATTTGACATTATCTTGTATCCTAGACCCTGTCCAGATTTCCGTTGACTCATGAAGAAGTGGTAGCCAGAAGAATGCTCCTCTCAGAGAAGGCACAGATGGAAGTGAAATCAGTAAGTTTTGTTTCAGGTTTCTGATTTTGACATGTTTTAGAAAGGAGGAGGGTTTGGAATGGGTGCCAGCTCCCTGAAAACAACCGTGTTGCTACAGAAATTCACAGCCACAAAAATGTTGATAAAAGAGACTTTTCAGGGGTGTTGTGATGATAGCGAGGTTCTGTAAAGGACATTCTGATTGATGATGATGATGCTGTAGGACAGAAGGGGATGGGAGGTTTGAGCCTGAGGATTTAGGTCCACATGACTAGTACAGTCAGCACAAAGTTGGGAGAGTTAGTTCCCCCTCCCATGGAAAACAATGGGTACCAGACTAGATGCTGTACACAATATTGAGAGGTCAAAGACAATGAACGGCCTGTTGGAAATGGGTGTTACATAAGAACAAGCATGCAGAAACAGCTTGGGGGAGGAGGGGGGGTAAGGAAAGAAGATGTGCCAGTCAACTCCTGCTGGGTACGTGGAGTGTGGAGCCACTAAGATGGGTATTACCCGAGGGCAAGTGTGCAGAAAGAGGTTGGAGGTGGCAAGGAAAGAAGATGTGCCAGTCAGCTCCTGCTGGGTACCTGGAGCATGGAGCCACTGAGATGGCCATGAATGAGTTGGACTTATGAGCTAAGGATGCCAGACAACAAGTAACACGTAACGATATTAAAAGAATTGAGCACTGTTGAATGAAATGGGAGAATCATCTACTAGCCTTATATTATATATAATGGTACCAAAGAATTATGATTCTCTCACCTTTGGGATATTATTTGAACTTCCGGAGCTGAGTACAAATGAGTTGTGTGTATGTACCAGTACCTCCAGTTTGTGCCACTTGCTTGCTGCCCCCATATGGCTTGCTTGAGTTGTTTTTTTGACTGATGTGTCCTCACTGAACATAGAGTCACTGACTTCCTCAAATATAGTCATTATGGCTACCCTAATTTGTTATATACATCTATAGCTAAAACAATAGTTTGGTTTGTTGTATGCATCGTATGGTCACTAGTTTTCTATGTGGTCACTTTTGCTGCAAACAGCATTTGCAATGTGTGCTGAAATAATTGTAATATATTAGTTTAAATATTACTTACATAATGGCTTATCACTTTCAGCAAGCATTCACTTATTTCCAATGATATGATCACTTTTGCTGCAATGTGTATATAAAATATTGGTTGATATAATTGTTACATATAACCCAGCTCTTTGGATACACTGTGTTTTAAATACATTATATTCCTAGACACTTCTTTTTCCTCTTTATCTTCTTCTTCTTCTTCTTCTTGTTCTGCGTTTTCTTCTTCTTCTTCTTCTTCTTCTTCTTCTTATTCTTTTTCTTCTTCTGCTTCTTCTTCTTCTGCTTCTTCTTCTTCTGCTTCTTCTTCTTCTGCTTCTTCTTCTTCTTCTTCTTCTGCTTCTTCTTCTTCTTCTTCTTCTTCTTCTTCTTCACTGGCTGTAAACTTGGTGACACCTTCTGGTTGTTCATCCACTTCTGAACTCTGGTCTAGTTCCAGAACTTGAGTGTTACATCCACTTTACAGATCTGGCTTATTTGTATGCAGACTGCTGGTTCCTTGCTCTCAGGCAGATGCTCTCCAACTTCGAAGAAAACATTCATAATTAGTCACCGTTTATAACATGCTTGTTGGGGAAAGGGAGGAGTGGGTCTTGTCTCTTCCCTTCACAATGGGACCCAGGAAGCCACACAGGAAATATTCCTGGATACAATTATTACATAACCCTTATCACAACAATTAACCTCATGAGTGTTAGTGTTCATCTTTTCATATTTAAGTTTGTTTCACATTTTATAAAAATCTGTGTTTTACATTTACAGATGCAATCAGCCTTAACTCTTTGAGTCCCAAAGGGTTTAGCATCACAGGCCCAAAGGGTAGTCAAGAGAGACGTAAAATCAGCGCATCATGGGTTCATTGGGCTTCTAGGTAGTAAAATATGAACGTATGATGCGTTCCTTGGGATTCAAAGAGTTAAAGTTTCATTGAAGACATCATTTCCATGTAATCTGACATCCTGACTACTTCCTATGAATAAGGTTGCTTGACTGTTATAAAAATATGCATTCTTCCTTGTTTTGCTCTTGTAGCCGAATCCCAGCAGACGATCTGAGTCTAAAGACAGGCCTAGCAGTGTCAGCAGAAGTGCCACACAACTAGACAAGTCTAAGCAAAAACCTCCGCCAAAGAAAAAAGTGAGAGTCAATCACTGAGTTACTGTGGATCTAATTCAGTTGCTGGAGAAGTAACTCAGTTACTGCAGATCTAACTCATTTAGTACAAATCTAATTCAGATATCATAGATCTGGCTATTTTGTTGCCAACATAATATTTTAGTGCAACATAATAAATATATATTTGAGAAATTCTTACAAACGAAATCTGCCTATTGGCCTGTTGAATTGTTCTTTTTTCTTCTACCTTTCATTTCTACACGGAGTCTTGATCTTTAAGTCCTTTGCAGACTTGTTCATAATTGATTATCTTTTTCTGGGATGAGGTAGTCAGTCTCATCTCAACCCTCCCCATTTGCCTCATCTACCCAGCATGCTTTAGGGTTTAGAAAGTATTCTTCACTTTTAGAGGTAAATTTTTGTAATGGTCTCACACATACTGAGGGCGGTGTAGGAAAGAGTTAAGTCACAAACAGCATTATGTCCTAAAAGTTGTGTTATTTTATCCGTGCTGGCATGGAGAGAGTGGCAATGGAGTGCACAGATTCTGGAAAATAAGTCAGAGACAGACCTCGGTAAACCTGGATCAAAGACATAGAATATACATTGGCTGTGAAAGCACATAGGGCTGTAGAATTAGCCAGAGAAAGAGAGACTTTCAGGCGTGTTGTGATGATAGCGAGGTTCTGTAAAGGACATTCTGATTGATGATGATGATGCTGTAGGACAGAAGGGGATGGGAGGTTTGAGACTGAGGATTTAGGTCTGCATGACAAGTACAGTTAGCACAAAGTTGGGAGAGTTAGTTCCCCCGTCCCATGGAAAACAAAGTTTATTGTCTTAGCAAGGGTTCTAACTCTGATTTCATACTTATAAATAATTTGTGGAAATCTTTCTTTTGATGTTCACTGGCTGTACTGTAAACTCTGGGGGAATTTTCTGGCTGTTTGGTTTCTGGTCTTTAGTCTTGTTTGATAACTTAAGCTTTTCCTGCACATCTGTTTTACAGATCTGACTTATTTATATGCAGACTGTTTGCTCCTCAACTCTCAGGCAGATGCAATCCGACTTTGAAGGAAATACCCTGGATGTGCATGTGAAACTCAGTTTTGGATCAAGACCTGAGTCCAGGAATGGATGAACAACCATAATTTTCTGCAGAAATTTGCAGCCGGTGAATGCTATGAAGAAGAAGAAGTCGACCTTTTATGACCTACTTTTTAGGGGAACAATGGGTCTGTTCTTTTTCCCTTTATCATTGGGCCCCAAAACCAACATGGAGGCAGTGATCTAGTTCCAGAACATTTATGTGCAGTTGATTTGATTCTCCTCTCAAACTGTGCTATGGAGTTACGATATTTAATTCTGACTGTTAAAAGACACAGTAAAGACATACATCATTATGTGCTTGCCTACCATTACTGGTTGTTCGTTTGATAAATTCCCCGTGTTGGCTCTGGAGCTCCATTGTAGAGGAAAACTGGAACAGACCCGCTGCCTCCCTAACAAGCATTTCGTAGGAGTTGACTAATTGGGAGCTTTCTTTCAGTCTGTATGAGAGGCAAGGAACCCAGAGTCTGCATACAAATAAGTTAGATCGGTAAAATGGATGTGTACACAAAACTCAGATTATCAAACAAGACTAAAGTCCAGAGGTGGACGAACACCAAGAACTTTCTATGAGAGTTTACAGCTGGTGACTGTAAAGAAGAAGAAGTTTGATATGTAAATAGATTCACATCCATTGATGTGCACTTCTAGATGTAGAGGAAGTAAATGGTTTAAGTGTATACTGGAAACTCATATTGAGTGCATGTGTGTGTATTTGTGTGCATTACTCACTTTGTATGCATATGTACATGTACTCACTCACAATATGCGTGTGTGTATGTGTGAGCGCACAGTTATTCACTGCGTACTTTTTTGTATGTGCTCACTTGGACCCATGTTGTCATCAGTGATCATTTATTCCTTACATGTCCAACAACTTTCACCTACATTAATCTTCTTGTCCTACTTTGCGTTCACCGGCTGTAAACTCAGACAGAAAGTTCTTGTTTTTCATCCACTTCTGGACTTTAATTTGGTTCCAGAACTTGAACTTCTTCTTCTTTTTTCTGTGTTCGTCCGAAGATGTAATAGCGTTGTGCCTACTTACAGATTGGCTGTGATATTTGTGCTTTTTGGTCAACACATCTGTCTTCTGCAGGCATTTGTTGATTAACTTAGACTTCCCGGCAACTTGAGTTTTACATCATCATTATCATCATCATCATCATCAAATGCTACCTGCATTTTCAAGAGCAGGTGTAATTGAGTTTCTAAACCTCCCAAGTCTTCCGCATCTTAAACCAGGCTTCTAATGTGGCTAGCAAGATAAACTCACATCAAGACAAACTTTCCACAACAACTATGTGGGCTTTCAGATCCATTTTTGGCATCACATGTTGTGTTCTTTCCTAAAATCTCAGCACTTAATTTGTCTGCAGTCATGTTCTCCTTCATCTCTATTCCCCTCTTAATCATTGTCCAACATGCAGTGCAATCCCTGTCATCCCATTCCCCTCTAAATCATTGTCCAACATGCAGTGCAATCCCTGTCATCCCATTCCCCTCTTAATCATTGTCCAACATGCAGTGCAATCCCTGTCATCCCATTCCCCTCTAAATCATTGTCCAACATGCAGTGCAATCCCTGTCATCCCATTCCCCTCTTAATCATTGTCCAACATGCAGTGCAATCCCTGTCATCCCATTCCCCTCTTAATCATTGTCCAACATACAATGCAATCCCTGTCATCCCATTCCCCTCTTAATCATTGTCCAACATACAATGCAATCCCTGTCATCCCATTCCCCTCTTAATCATTGTCCAACATGCAGTGCAATCCCTGTCATCCCATTCCCCTCTTAATCATTGTCCAACATACAATGCAATCCCTGTCATCCCATTCCCCTCTTAATCATTGTCCAACATGCAGTGCAATCCCTGTCATCCCATTCCCCTCTAAATCATTGTCCAACATGCAGTGCAATCCCTGTCATCCCATTCCCCTCTTAATCATTGTCCAACATGCAGTGCAATCCCTGTCATCCCATTCTCATGATTCCGTCTCAAAAAAGCAACGTTATCATAAATTAACACCTAATATGAAACATTTTCAAGCTGCCGGTGGTTTGGCAAATTTGATATTGATAGCTGACTCTTTAGAAAGCAATGGCAAACTACTGATTGCAAAACTGCCTAGCAAAATCAGCAACCAAAAACATCCTGGGATTGGTTCTGCAATGTTCTGTAAAGGATATACAACTGATATCACAGACAGTATCAATTCACAGCATGACTATTCAACTGGTGGACTGTGGGCCTAAACCGGCCCACAGAGGTCTAGCAAGTGGCCCCCTGCATCATTGTCAGTTGTAATGTACTGTAAAAGTGATTGTTCTACACAGGAGAGCTTGGGCCTCTGGCCCATGACGATACCCGTTTCTAAAATTGTGGCCCCTAAGTAAACTTTATCCGAATAGCCTTGCTCTACAGGTTTTGTATATCAAGAGAACACAAAGCTTTAGAATGGTAGAAGCATTTACATCTGCAGATGAGTGCAGAAAATAAATTGTTGCAGAAAACTTATCACAGTTTTTAAATATATGTTTGGTTTCAAATTAGGAAACAAAAGAAAAAGAAACCAAAGAAAACACAAAGCCAGCAAAGAAGGAGAAGGAAGATCCTAAACCTACTGGTCGAAAAGGTCAGTGTTTGTGATTGTGTGTGTATGCCGAGAGCACATGAGTGTGTATGCAACCATGGTAACCTTTGTTTTCAACAAGATGTAGGGAATGTTCTTTTAATTCAGCCATCTTTTAGCAACCTTGTAAATCCTTATGTAGTTTTTGTTTCAAGTTCAAACAAAAAATGCAGTTAAAGTAAACATGAGAATATGAGGTGTGAACTTTTGTGTGAACATATATAAAAGTGGTATGTGGACATTTATAAAAGTGGTGTGTGGACATATATAAAAGTGGTATGTGGACATATATAAAAGTGGTATGTGAACATATATAAAAGTGGTATGTGGACATATATAAAAGTGGTATGTGGACATATATAAAAGTGGTATGTGGACATATATAAAAGTGGTATGTGGACATATATACAAGTGGTATGTGGGCATATATAAAAGTTTATATATTTTTGTCCTCTTCCTCTGGGTCTCTTACCATAAATTTTATCAGTTGTCATTTTTTTTATTTTTCCCTGTGTTTCTTCTGATTATGTGGCCATACACTAAATAGCTATTGTGTGTGTGTTTCTAATGTTTATGGTGAGTTTCTTTGTTATTTAGCTTTTTTTCACATTAGTTAGAAAATTATCTTCAGCTGCCCTAGGAATTGTACGCATTCTTCTGTAGGGCCACATCTCATTGTACGCATTCTTCTGTAGGGCCACATCTCATTGTACGCATTCTTCTGTAGGGCCACATCTCAGAGACCTCGGCAGCTTGTTGAGCTTATTGACTATTTGTCTAGGACCCACAAGCGTATGTTTAAACTGGTTATTTGTTAAAGCTAGTTGTATGTAACGTGTGAGATATAATAAATGACATTGTCACTGTTACTGTTAACTGAAACATGGCAAAGATTCTTCTCCTTCTGTGCTCATCTTTATTTTTTTTTTTTTTTTTAGTATCCAGAAGCCATGAGTTGTTAACCCTTAGGCTCGTTATTATGGATATCGCAACCTTTCGGCCTTGATTCCATTGTAAATACCATAAATCTGGGAGAAATGTGGCTTTTCTGCCTAACCCCGGGCGTGAACCCGGACCACAAGGAGTTCGTCATTCCGTCACCGCGCAATCCAGTTTAGCCAACTACGCTAGTGAGCCGGGCGGGTTCATGTTTAAAACAGTGTTTGACATCCTGGGTTGTGGCTCAAAGCTAGCTGCAGTTTTTGCATCTCTGAGTCTAACACATTTGATTTAAGAAAATCCCTAATTAGTCGTTTTTTTTATGTCATGCTT